TGGCTCTTGATCATGTCACTGATTGTTGCTTCTCCATCGTGAATTGAAAAGTAATGGCATGGGGTGAGTTTGTTTGAGGATTCATCATCGCCAGGATAACTTGCTTTTCAGTCTGAAGCTGGTGAGCTGCTAATGATGGGTGTTATGCATGAGACTTGTTTTGATCATCACCCTTCTTCAACTGATATGTGCTTGCTGTTTGTAGATGGAGATAACACTTGGCGGTTCAAAAAAAAGTCTTTTGGAGCTTGAATATCATTATCAGATTATGACCGGCATCCATCCATTTTGTGAGTCTCTTCTTTGATTATTCTGTAGCACCGTTATCACCGTCTGTATTTAAGTTCGGTAGCATTCGTATGAGTTATGACCTGTGTGCCCCTGCGACTTCAAAGTCCAATTCGCAATGCCTCGTGTTTGTAGAGGCTTGTATAAGAAAACTCTGGAGTGGGTATTTCATAACAGTAACACTGCTTGCTGTTGTTTGTTTTGGCAGGTTAACTACACTTATCTTGCGGCGGGTCTTGGTCGTCTGGGGTACGCGAGATGGTGGGAGCGGCAAGGCTACTGAGTGAATACAAATATTTAATGCGTCCCTTCAGCTCCTGCATTCCAGACATAATGAAGAACAGGCAGCACAGCAGTCGCCCTAATTGTCGCATAATGAAGCCAACCTGGGATGTCTAGCTTTAAGAAACCATTGACTACTACCTCTCCCTCTAACTCCAAGCTAATGTTGCAGTCTGATTTGCAAGAAATAAAACGAGTACAAAACCGAACAGAGCTAATGGGCTGTGCAACACCTGTTCCATTGATGACAACGTATCTTAAAAAGTAAGCGAAACGGGACCTGTACCGTAGAACTCAATTACCGATGTGGTCAGCAGCACATTATTTACCAAGTGAAGTCAATGAAGATACATAAGATGGCCAAAGAAGTGGTTATGACACAATGCGTTCTTAGAAATGTTAAGATTCTGTGGTAATGATGGGATGATCCTTTTGTACGTCAGGAGAGAGCATTTGTATCTTATATTAATGTCTTAAACTGAAACTTTGTTATAAGGAGTGTATCCACTTGCACGTTGAATGAAATCCAAAATTGTAGTAAAGTGTTAGACAGAAATAAATGCTCCTTCCGTTAATTCTCCATTGCCGCTCTTCACCACGGCTTATCTTGTTTATATGTGAAATGGTGACTTGAACCATGTCCTAAAAGAATTCTTTGAGGACCCTCTCACTTTGGCACTTTAAATGACCCTTCAAAAACTGGATGTTTCCGATTAATCTGAATAATCTTGAATTGGGTTAAAGGAATGACGTTGGCGCTTCACATCGATGAACTCTTGCATATTTAATAGTACAAAACTCACGGACTTTGTAACTCGGTCACAAAACTCTTGAATCTTTGAATTGAATCTGATAGGCTCTTTCATATGCAAAATCTCGTTAAATTGAGTTTGAATTCCAAAGTGGTGAACTTTGAACTTGAATGTATTAGTCACGTCTTTGTGATACTTGGCTATAAGAATCTAAACTTGGCACCACTGCGCTTGCATGAAATGGTTAGCCGCAAAACATAAAAATATTAAATTAAAGACGAATAACAACAAAAAAATACACGAAAGGAGGTGGGATCTCGTGGTCAAAAATTAGGGTGCAACAATCATCACATGTATGAACATCTAAACTTCAAAAGTTTAGGAATGCTACAAAGAAAAGCAGGCTAGAAAAGCATTCAAGCACGAGTTTCCCATGAAATCGAAAGAATAGTTGAAGCTTATTCATTATGATGTGTGTGGTCTTTTTGAAGTCAGGTCGAATGGAGGTAACTGCTATTTCTTAACTTTCATGGATGAATTCACCAAATATATGTGGATTTATCTGATTGAGAAGAAGAGTGAGGTATTCACACAATTCAAGAAGTTTAAATTGCATGTCAAAAAGTAGAGTGAATGCAAATTAAAGAAACTGAGAACTGATGGTAGATGTGAATACACTTCTTGAGAATTTACTAGATTTTGCAATGAGGAAGGTATAGAGCATGAAGTCATTTCACCCTATACAGCTTAACACAATGGAATAATTGAATGAAAGAACATAAGTATACTGAACATGACCAGAAGTATGTTGAAAGCTAAATAAATGCCAAAGATATTTTGGGGAGAAGCAGTTTCAACAATAGTTTACTTACTTAATAGATGTCCAACTAAGAAGATGATCGATAAGACACCTTACGAGGCTTGGACAAGACCGAAGTCAAACATCAGTCACTTTAAAATATTTGGATCAATGTGCTGCAGGCATATATGTACATGAGCAATTGAGGAATAAGCTAGATGATCGAAGTCAGACCATGGCGCTCATACCTTATCATTCGACTAATGCATACAAGTTTCATTCGCCAAAGGATGATAAACTAGTAATCAATAGAGATGTTCCAGTGGACAAAAGTAAAAAGTGGAACTGCATTCATGAGCCAATTCGAGATGAGCAAGATATAGTCACAACTGTATTTGAAGAAGAAGATCAACAAAATGAAGCCATAACAACTTAAGAGGGAGAACCACTTAAGAAGAATGTTAGAAGATCGACTAGAAAGAGAACATAGTCGACAAGGCTAACTGGATATGAGAGATTTCCAGATCAAGCAATTGATGTAGATGTTAATCTCATAGAAGAAGAAACGATGATGGCTAAAGCAGGACTAATTAATTTATTGGTCGGCAACCATAAAAGAAGAACTCAGGGCAATTGAGAATAATATGACCTGAGAACTTGTTGAAAGATCTAGCAAGAAGCCAATTGATGTGAAGTGGGTCTATAAGGTGAAACTAGGAACAAACAATGAAATTGCTAAGCATAAGATAACACTAGTGGCGAGAGGTTTTCTACAAAAATCTGGTATTGATTTCGACAAAGTGTACACACCTGTTGCAAGGTTGGAGACAATCAGGATTGTTGTGTCGACTGCAGCAACTAGAGGATGGAAGATACATCAATTAGATGTAAAGTTAGAATTTCTAAATGGACCATAGGAAGAAGAGGTCTATGTCACTCAACCACCAAGGTTTGAAATCAAAGGGCAAGAGCAAAAGGTGTACAGATTGAGAAAGGATCTATATGACTTGAAATAAGCCCCAGGGGTTTGGAATAAGAGAATAGATAACTTCCTGATCGAAGCGGGTTTCACAAAATGTGTCTCAGAACATGGAGCGTATATAAATGATGCTCACAGGGTCAGGTGAATCATTTTATGCTTATATGTAGATGATTTGTTGATAACAAGTGCATGTGAAAAAGAGATAAGAAAAGTCAAATAAAAGTTGATGCATGAGTTTGAAATGTTCGACCTAGGGAATTTGTCATATTTCTTCGGGATGAAATTCAAAGACACAAGTGAATGAGTGTTCTTGCACCAAAAGAAGTATGCTTAATACATCTTGAAAGGGTTCAAGATGAGTAACTGTAATGCATCTGCAACGCATTAGAAATTGGAGCAAACTTGAAGAAGGATACAAATGATAAGTTTGTAAGTGCGACCCTGTACAAACAAATCATTGGATCCTTAAGGTGTCTTTGTAATATAAGGTCAGGCATTTGTCAAAGTGTCAAATTGTTGAGCAAATTCATGGAGAATCCCTAAGAGTGTAATCTCATTGCAGTTAAGAGAATGTTGAGATACATCAAAGGTACGATTGATCATGATGTGCTGATCTAAAGGCAAAAGAAGATCAGCACAGATACAAAGGTATATGGCTACACTGATTCAGATTTTATTGGAGATCAAAACGAGAAGAAAAGTACTGCAGACTACATATTCATGATCGAAGGTGCTCCAATCTCTTGGAGCTCAAGGAAGCAAAACATTATTACTTTGTCATCACACGAAGTTGAGTACGTAGCTGCATCATATGCAGCATGTCAAGCAACATGGATAGAGATGCTGATAGAAGAACTCAAGATCATGAAACCTAATAAGATGAAGTTGTTTGTAGATAACAAATTAGCTATCGACCTAGCCAATCATCTTATGCATTATGGTCGAAGTAAGCACATAGAGAGGATGTATCATTTCCTTAGGGATTAAGTGAATAAAGGGAATCTTAAACTTGAGTATTGCAAGACAAAATGACAACTAACTAATGTACTCACAAACCACTGAATAAAGTCAGGTTTGAAGAGCTGAAGAGAGGTATTAGGATGAGAAGTCTTGAAAACATGAATTAGAAAGTGTGTTAGAAGATGTAATTCATGGTTTCATTAATGTTATGATCGACAATAAGCTTGATGTATAACCTAATCGAATTAGTTGTAGAATCAGCTGTATCCGACAAAGTCAAATACAACTAATAGCTATTAAGTCAAAGTGTAACTTTATATATTTTGCTTGGACCATGATAGCCTATAAATAAGCATGATGTTGTAATTCAAAACAGAGTGAATAGTTAATAGAATTTTCTCTTTAAACAATACAATTTCTCTATTCTCTCTATTCTTCTTCTTCATTCACTCTTCTTAAAACCTTAAATGTTTCAACATACCGAAAGAAAAAAATATTCCAAAAAAAATGGTTAAGGTAAAATTGCATAGATTTCTTAAGCTTTATGTAGGCTTATCATATTCAATCAATGAGACTTAGATTGTCTCAATATAATCAATGTTAAAGTTCAGTCTTTTTTTTTTTTCTTTCAATAATAATGGAGTAAAAGATAAACTTCCGTTAATATCTTTAACGGTAGTAATTAAAAAAGAAACAAACAAATTTATTTATTTCATTAAAAATACAACAAACAATACCCTTCCCAATCACAGAAGAACATGAAAACTATTCTTCTGTAATAGTATTCCAATAATCAACACTCAAATCACACAAACTTAAAAGCTTTAAAACTACTACAAATCCACCCTCTCCAAAAAATGCAAATTGAAACCAGAAAAGATCAGAAAAAAAAAAGTGAATAAAAACTAAAAATTGAAGAATTCAAAGTTGCAGAAACTCAAAGATCTCTACACCTTAAAACACTTTTCTTCCCCACAACCCTACTATTCCTAATCTCACCATTAATAGCATTTGCAGTAGCCGAAGAAAAACTCCTCAGTTCATCAAAATTACCATAGCTTTTCCTTGCCGTAAGAATCCCACCACCACCACAACCCTTTCTCTTCTCAGCATTAGCATTCACCGATCTACTACCTCCTCTTGAACTCGACATAACACCACAACCTTTGTTCTTGTTCTTCAATGGAGGTGTCAATGTCATAGTACTAGGAACCATATTATTCGTTGGTTTACGATTCTCTTTCCTTAACAATGAAGAGAAATCCGGCACAGATTGAGCTACTAGAGAAGACCCTTTTCTTACCGAAGCAACACCAACCTGAAACTTAACTTGTTTTGTCGATATGGTTGGAATTTTTGATTCAAAAACATTCTCTTTTTCTTGTTGTTCTTCTTGATAATCTTGTTGCTGTGTTTGGTAGTTCAGTCGAAGCTTTTTCTCTCGCAATTTAGCGTATTCATCGTATCTGGGTCCTCTCTCCAAATCCATAATGTGATGATATTTTTTTTGTTCAGTGTTTGTTGTGGAGGTGAGAACAGAGAGAATAGGGTTTGGAAGATGAAACAGAAAATATAGCCGTTGAAATGTTTTGTTATTTTTTTTTTCTCTTTTTACCACTTTTTGTAATAAAATAAAACAAAATAGTATTACGGCATTTGATATTGTAACGGTCTAATAAATGAGAGAGAAGATGCTTTTAATTGTGAAAGCTATATCTTTTATTGATAAATTCACTATATTACATGTGGAAATTTATATTCATTGTACTTGATTATCTAATTTTGTGTGCCATAAACAAATGTGTAATGATTTTTTCTTCCATAATTTGAGATTTAAGCAATTAGGGAATTTTCAAAAAGTATAAAATAAAGATAAATATTTGAATTGATTTAAAGTTTAAATATTCAATACTTTTTATATTTAATTAGTACCATTTTACAAAAATATATAAAATAATTGGCAAAACAAATAGATTAAAAAATATAATATTGAAATTCTAAACTTTCTTATTATTCATAAGTTTTAAAATTAATGTCACTTAAATTTCTTACACATCAATTAAAAATATAATAAAATGAAATAATAATTTAACTATAGTAGTTATATTAATTATTAGTGTCTTTTACTATCATAAGTAAAATGTGACATAGTTTAAAAATAATTAATTTTACATTAAAAAACTCAACATAGTATTATTTTAAAACAAATTTGAGATCCATAATTATCCTTTTTTTCATCTTTAATATTTTGGTAACACACTGATTATAAGTGAGAAATGATGGTTCAATATTCAGATTATAAAGGCAATTCTACTTCTATTTGAATTAATGTTCGATTTGAAAGTAATTTAAAAAAAAAAGAAATTCAATTGTTGGGATGAATGTCCCTCAATTTTGAATTGTAGAGGCAACAAACGTTCAAAAGTGCAGAATTGGGTCTTTGTCCAATTATTTTGGTCTTTCAATTGGAGCAAATCTGAATCTAAAAGATGCTTAGAATCAGGTGATAAGACATTGAAATGTATAGATGGAAGAACAAACGTATGTCCATTAGCACTGGATAACAATATTAAAATCTGTCTTATGCAATCTCAATCTACTTTCTCTCATTCTTCAAACCTTACTTACATACCATTTCTAGATTAGAATATACTTTTAAACAATTTTTATGGGGTTGCATAGAAGTGAGAAAAATTAGCTGGATAAAATGGGATAAAATGTGTAGGCCTGAGTATTAGACATTTAAGGATTTTTAACATTGCATTATAAAGTCAAAACCCATTGCATTATGGTTTTCGAACCCTAAGGCGTGTCTTGGTATCAAGAACACTTGATTTTATCATCTTTGCTGCAAATCGAACCTTAGGCGTGCCTTGGAATTTGATTGAGCTTGGAATTGGCGTCAGTCGGGGAGTTCTCTAATTTTTGCTTGCGGAGTCTCTATTTGGAAGTCCCTTTTATACAAAGATTGCAGTTTGTTAAAGAAAGAGAAGATTATGCTAATTATTAGGCTAACATGGGTAACCTTATTGTCCATTGACAAGGGTAGAGTATATAGCAGTAGGAGTGGAGTACACTGCAGACTTCTCAACATTACCATCAGCCACAACACATTTGGATCGGTGAATAAATGGATTAAGATACCAATTCTTGGAATCAGTCTATTATTAAAAGCTCATTTTATCATAAATCAACTTAGTCAATCAATAACACACATCTGTTTAACTCAGTTCACACGAACAAATTAATAAAGAAAAACATGGTCAATACCCGGTTAGGAGTGCACATGGACTTATTAGAGTTCTTAACTGCTTAATTTTCTCAGCATGAAGCAATTATCTGCTAGAGCCATGTGAGGCAACAGATTAGGCAAAAGGTTTTAGGCGAAAATGCTAGAACACACTGAGGTAACCATTTCATATATAACCAAAAACTAGTGGTACATTTGAACAACATTAAACTTTATTGTACTTGTATTTTTGCCCTATGTTGAATCTATTCACATGATGGTTAAACCCATTCATCACTAAGGTCCTAACAGCTTGAACTCCTTGCTCCAATGACTCATCAATCTGCCATAAAAAATGCAACAAAAAAATGTTTTCTGTCAAATTTCTAATCTAAAAAATGGTACATAATTTATACTACTCTACAATTTTGTGGTGACTCAAGTATTTCACAACTATAAGCAGAAAAACTCTATTCTATGCAATGACAGAATAGCTAAACAATGCATGGCAGAAGACTAGAAGGTGCTACCTGCTTTCTTTCCACCGAACTGAACTTTTGTAGAAGAAACGCTCTTAAGTCCATAGTTCCAGGAGGATTTCCAATTCCTAAAAACACAATTTTGAAATATACTCTGATAAAAACTCGACGCTATATAAACTTATAAAGTGACAGTAGTAAAAGAACTAACCGATTGCAAGTCGTGGAAAATCACGAGAACCATCCAAATGGCCCATCACATTTTTCAATCTGTAACAATTGACAACATTAACACCAAGTTCAAATTCAGACAAGAGAATTCTACTTTGGAGTTGCAGCAACTAGTGATAAAGCTATGCCCATATTCCACTCCCTTCTTTGTTAAGAGTTAAAAGAATTTCACTGGCCTTTGTATCCACCTTATATGGCACCATTAATGCATCCAAGAAGCCAACCCTTACTTGGCATGTCTAAACTCATCAATCTTGCATCGATAAGAATACAGAAATTCTACTCACCATCTTACTATTGATGAAGTTAAAACTTCAGACTTGCTAGACTAAATCATTTCCTATTTTCAAATTCATATTTTGTTACAACACTTAAAAATCTCAACGACCATGTTATGAGAAATACAACAAACATTACCCGTTGTGATGCCCATGTCCACCTTTAGGTTGAAGCTTCAAAACACCATTCGGAAGACTAGTTTCATCATAAACCTAGATCAAAATCTCCAAAACTTAAAGCCAAGCAAAACATCAACAAATTTCCAAATTGTAACCAAACAAGATCAAACTAAGAAATACATACCAGTAGAATATGACGCAAGGGCACTCGATAATATGCAGCAAGCGGCCCAACCTTTAAGAATATCAAAAACGAGATAACTCAAGAACAAAAAGATAACTTTCAAACAAACAGATCACAGTAAGCACAAATAACTACAAGCACAGAATCAGATAATTCATCCATAGCCAATTTCAGTGTGTGTATCTATGCGTATATGTATTAATTACGAAAACCTAGCTATTATGTATGGCGAAAACTAACCGATTCGCCACTAAAATTCATGTAACTTTGAGGCTTTGCCAACAAAACTGGTACTTCTCCTATAGAACCTAATCCAATCAAGGCCTTTGACTGTATCGTATTCATCAGAATACCTTCATTTTGAGAAATACTATCAATTATTTCAAATCCAACCTAACACAGAAAAACCCATTAGATTAAACTCAGCAGATTAACTCAATTACTTTGAAAACTAGAAAAACAATAATAATTACATTGTGTCTTGTGCCATTGTATTTGTTTCCAGGGTTACCCAACCCAACGATGAGCCAAGGAGTATATTCCACTTTAGTTTCATTATTTGTATGTGGCACCGAACAACGAACGGAGAATGATGTTTTAACTGAAGGTTTTGTTGAAAAACGAGGATGGTGAAGGTTGTTCCTGGGATAGGTTAAAGATAAGGATGGGGAAGATGCGAGATGCAACATTTATCTTATCTGTTGATAAAAACATAAAAGATTGAGAAAGAATAACATGGTATAATTGAGAACAAAACATGATTTAGTTTAAGTGAAGAAAAATGTCGTTTAGGATTATTCACAAACACTTACAGAGCATGAATTAGAAAATAGGAACGAAAATACAATCTTCTGAAAAGCTTGCAGGTTACCCCAGGTGAGTGGAGAAGACAAAGAGAAGTGTTTTTTTTTTTGGTGTGTTAATAAAAAAGAGTAGGGGTTTGGATGGGACTCGCAGATTTTTTTCTCTGTTTTGGTTTATTAGTGGTAGAACAATCTACACACAACTCTTAGTCTCTGGAAAGGATCAAATCAAATTCAAAACTTAAAAAAATAAAAAAAAACTAAAATGAGAAGAAAAAATAAATAGAGATTAAAATTACAATTAAGTTAATATTTTTTTGACAAATAAATAAAATAATATAGATTTATTTTAGTCCTTAAATTTTATTTTTATAAAGTTTTTAAATGTTAAATTTCGTTTAGTTTTATTTTCAGACATTAATAATCTGTTAAAAAAAGAGGAGGGTGCAAATGTTCATTCACCTGACATGGCATAGGAGGACGAAATCCAATTTTTTTGTACAAACCATCTTCTTCCTCAATCCACCTTCAACCTCTATTTTTTTCTCACCTTCAAACTCCACCTCCAACCTCCATTTATTTTCACCTTCACCTTCATGTTATATTCTGCAAACTCCATTTCAAAAAGCAAATACCTTTTCTCCTATTTTCTAACTCATTCTTCATAGAATGCTTTTATTTCTCTTCCCACCAACCCCATCATCCATAAAACTCTTACATAAGCAAACTCACAGCTTATATGTCAATTCTTAAACAAACTCATTTCAAAGATCATTATAATGTTCTTTTGAAGAAAATATTTTATGTATTGTAGAAACAAGATGGTTGTACCTCTGCTAAATTCTAGGTTTTGAAAAAAAATTAAGTTTGAAATTATAGGTTTGTATGAAGGTTGAGGATAAAGATATGAACACAAATCTATAATTCAAATTTAATTAGTCTTTTTTCTTATAAGTTGACGTATTTTTGATTTTAGTTTATAATTATGAATTTCTGTTACTGCATTTTATTTTGTCACCATGTCAAATATTTTTAATATTTTTCCATCATGTTTGTAATTTTTTTATCTGACTCATTTGTTTTTGAATTATAAAGAATTATTTAAAAACTATTACATGCATAACAAGCACAAAAAAAAACAAAATCATCTAAACAATTACGTACATAATAAGCATCTTAAAACACATAAAACTAAATTCATTCTTGCTATCTCAAAATCAACTCATTAGAATAGAGAATTATAACTAAAGAATCATAATCTATGCTATGTCAAAATCAACTCATTAGAATAGAGAATTATAACTAAAGAATCATAATCTAGAGAGGTAATGTTTATTTTTTTTATCATAGAAAATATTCACTTGGTTTCACTATAAAAGGTTTTAAATTAACGGTGCAACTCCAAAGCTCTTGACTAATATTAAAAATTGGAGTATTTAACTAGTAAGGAAGTAATGTTGATAATATCATGAATCTAATAATAGGCAAACACTTATACCATTGAACAATATAAACAAACCATGAATCTAACTATTGGTAGAGTCAACATAAAAAATTTCACACAAAAAGTTTGCTTTAACACCCTCACAACAACGCATCATTCATTATTTATGAGGTAAAATATAGAAAAAAGATTTAGAAGACGAGACGTACATTCTAGGATTTGAATATGATGATTAAAATAAGAATGCAATTGAGAATGATGGTTTGATCAATTGAGAATAATGAATGACATTGTGCATGATAAAATGGAGGTTGGAGATGAGAAAAATGGAAATTTTTATGCAGAGTTTTTCGAATTTTATATGGAGATAAGACAAGCATGTTGGGAAATTCTCCAGAACTAGGGACTAAAAAAAAGGGGTTAAAACCAAAAACAAACCAACTTACATAGATAAAAAGACTATTTAATCTAAAATTTCGGGTTTGTGTTCATATCTTCGTCCCCAACCTTCATAGAAACCCATAATTTTTTCAAACCCACAATTTTTCTTTGAACAATATCATGGTCTTTGAAATGAGTTTGATCAGGAATTGACATATAAGCTCCGAGTCTGCTTATTGAACTCCATAGATAAGCATTCTTCGACAATTTGAGAGGAGAGTGTTGGTGCTATATAGATATTGGTGATGTCTCCACCGCTGCCAGCTTGGAGCCACGATGCAGTGGAAAGTGTTTGTCTCCGTTGAGGTTGAGAATGCGATGAAAGAGACGAGTGCGTGGGGAGATATTAGAATGGAGACGAGGTTGTGAGAAGGCATGTTTCGCGAAGGTGCTTCGCTGGAGTGAAGGATGAGCGAAATGGAGAAGAAGAAGGGCGTAACTTTGACGACAATGTGAAAAAAGTTGAGGAGCTTTGAAAGAGAGGAGAACAACTGAGATTGGTAGCTATCACAACTGCGAAAAACACCTGGCGGAAAAACAGAAGAGTCTCCACCGAACGTTATTTATCCCAAAGATAGGAAAAGGAAAAGATCAAAGAAAACCTGAAGAACAGGGAAGACAAGGTCATCGCAACCAAATCTTGGGTTTGGGAGTCGGTTACGCAAGGGGAAGGTATTAGACCCCTCACATCCGTTGTACTTAATGGGATCCATGCTTGTTGTCTAATCAAGAGGTGTGTTTATCTATAAGCTACTGCTAAACGGAAACGAGAACAAAAGAAAAAGAAAGAGACTCAATAGGACATTGTCGCTCTATGCCTACGTATTCCCTCGTGCAATGGGAAAGTCAAAGTCAACGTAGTTCGAAAACTACGGGTGATGGGGGGAAGGTTGCTCGCCAAGACATCGCCGTCTTGTGCCTACGTATCCTCATCTGGTATGAGAAATCAGAGCAAACGTAGTTCGGGTAACTAGACCACTGGTTGGTTAAGTGTTTTTTATGAGTGACGTTAAACTCTCATTCTAGCAGTTAAGGTCGATGTCTGTTTGCGGTAGAACAGTTTAGGGTGTTATTTGTTAATTGTTAATTGTTCACTCAAAGCTTTTAAGCAAGAATGTATTGTTCTTGATTGAAGTTGTTAAGCAAAATCAAGTATTGTGACTTTGAATAGTGTCTTCTATAGTCTTCCTTCTTGTATTGAATTGTTTATCACTGTTGTGATTGTGGGGAGTGAGAGGTGTCTCTTGTCTAGTGGGTTCTAGGCAGAAATTGCATTGGATAGAGATTAAGTGAGGAGTTGTAAACTGGGAGTTTAGCTCTGAATTAATTATGCTAATAGTGGATTTCCTTTCTGGCTTGGTAGCCCCTAGATGTAAGTGATGTTGCACCGAATTGGGTAAACAATTTCCTGTGTTCTTTACTGATTTCGTTACTGGTTTACTGCTAAGTTTAATAGTCTGCTCAGTAGTGGATGTCATAACATCCGTTATAATATCGACTGTCTGTTACTATGCATTTACGATTCAACATATTTAAATGGTTAGATAAATTGCTCTGTCAGTCTGCAGATGTTACAACAGATGTCATGACACTGTTAATTTTTAAAGGGATTTAAAATACTCATGCTCTATCCTTGTTCTATATTAGCAGAGATCAATGTCTTTACATCGCTTGGGACATCTGAAATCTGCATACTAGAATTTCAATTAGTATCAGAGCAGACATCCTGTCTGTTCTGGATGAGATCTTGGGACATACTTTCTGGTGTCTTGAACAAGGAGAAGTGGTAGCTGATTTGCTGATCTTGCTAAATGTTTGAGCTACTGCTTATGGAGTTAAGGAGAAGTGTGTATTCACTCCTGCTTGTGAAGGATTCTGTGTGTCTGTTGTTGTCCCCTCTGATATAGGAGCTCCCATGACCTATTGAATGTTCTGACTGTTAGAACACAGATTGGTGTTTAAATATACCTCATTGTTTTGATGATAACACTAATGGAATTTTGTATTTAGAAAATATATACTCTAACTTTGTTCAAGTGTTTTTGTTTCAGATATTAAAATTGAATATTCTGATAAAGGCAAAAATACATCTGAGCATTCTCTACGCAAGGCTCTGAAGCATCAGAAGCAACTCATCAAAAGATTCTGAGCGCTGCCAGAAGAATCTAAAGCAGAATCTGCAGAAGACTCTGAAGCAGAAGTTGCATAAGACTCTGAAGCAGAAGCTGCAGAAGACTCTGAAGCGTAGCTGGAGATTTTGTATGAAGAGTTTCAAGCACTGTTTTCAGAAGACTCTGGAAGTACTTCACGCTGCAAGTACAGAGGCTCTGAATAACCAGTATGCTCTGATCAGATCACTCACGCTAAAGCACTATGGCTGCAACTCTGATTTCTTTGAATCTGATCTGAAGAACCAGAAGCACATCAGAGGATCTGATGTTGTTTACATTTGAAAAGATGTCACGTGAATAGACTTGGTACTATTCTCAACGTCCTTTCCAACAAAACTATTCCTTATTTGTGATAGACACAAGGATTCAGGCAAAAGGCATTTCTCTGAACATTCTACTTGTAAGAAAGGAAAAGTCATGTGAAGACAAAAGGCTACAGCTAATCTACTTGCACAGTCTTCAAGCTTTGGACTCTCAGCACTATAAAAGGATGTTATCTTCATCTCTTCAAAACTAACAAACTACTAACGATCTATTAAAAAAAACTTATTGAAATTATTCTCAACTCTCATACAATCATTCAAAGCTGAATAGTTTTATTTGTTCTTAAACTTAAGTGTAAAAATCACAGTTTGTGATATAGCTTTTTAGAAGCATCAAACACACTTGTTAGTTTACATTTATTTGTAAAGGTTCCTTAAGAAGACCAAGTTGTGGTCAGTAGTTCTTTAGAAGACTAATACATTTGTTCTTAGTGGTTGACATTGTAATCTGTTTGATTATAGTGGATTAAGTCCTTGTGGAGAAAGGCAAATCACTCTTGATAAGGT